AACATGCCCACAGTCCCGAGCCGAAAGGGTATAGAAAGGTCCAGTGAAGTCTGACTCCATCCGGGACTTGCTCAGCCCACTCCCCGGGGCCAGCCAGGACTCTTCCGGAATCTTCCAGAGCTCCCAAACACACAGCTCTGGCTTTTGGTTCCTCTGGTTGGCACACAGTATAGTCCTTTGTAGTGTGTTGCTTAGGTCACCGTAGTCATTTATGACAGGTGCTCCCACGTCACCCCATGAACTTTATCAGCGTGACTTGAGGGTGCATAGAAATTCCGGCTTTCCCTATCAGAATTGCTGTAACAAATCTGTGAATGGGCATTTGTCAGGGCCAGAGCCATAGTACAACGGGTAGGGCACTTGCCTTGCACATGGCTGGCCCGAGTTTGAGACATAGCGTCCCTTAGAGCCCCCAAACACCGCCAGGAGTAATTCCTTAGCACAGAGCCGGGCATAACCCCTCAGCATTGCTGGGTGTGGCCTCCGCACCCCCCCCCCCAAAAAATACTGACATTTGTCTCGTTCACCTTCTGCTGGTGAAATAACTGCTGACACATTCTGCCCAATGCTTTGTCACTCTCCAGAAGTCCATCCAAAGGATATCCACTAACCTTTGAGTGGAGTTTCTGAGTCCAAAGGAATGTGCCCCTGTGATGTATGTAGATGTAGATACGGCCCGATTGTCCTGAGAACTTTTGCCAGTTGACCTTTCCCCTGTGATGTGTGAGATTATGTTTCCCCACAAGCTCAGGGACAGTAGAACGGCGTTGGTTTCAACCTGACTGCTAAAAAGCCTATTTCTGTGTGGTTTCCTTTGGCATCACACCACAGTGGCGGGGATCAAACCCAAGGCCTCACGTGTGCTAAGCACAGCTTTGTCAGTGCTATTTGGATTTGTGTTTCCTTTTAGTGAATAATGGAGAGCATCTAATTTAGTCTTTTCCTGAGACACAGTTGCAGCCACTGAGTAAAAGTTTTTTCCTGAAAAGGGGGGGCAGTCGGCCAAAAAACCTTGGGGATATATTTAAGAGCCAATTGTGTAGCTTATGTGCCTACTTTCTTTCATACTGTGGACCTATTTTCTATGGAATTACTGTTTTCACTCGCGGAAGACATGTTGTTTTGTTTTGTTTTGTTTTAATGTAGGAGTACTGCTATTTATTCAGCCATTGGTTAGGCTGATTGAATTGGGCATGAACTCCACCTTACTTTTTTTTTCTTCCTTTTTTATAATTTTATTTATTGAATCACCATGAGAGCAGTTACAAAGCTTTCGGGTCTAAGTCTCAGTCATACAATGAAGCACCCATCCCTTCACCAGTGCCCATTTTCTACCACCCAAACTCCCAGTATCCCCCCCCATCTCACACCCTCCTCCTACCTGTGGGGCAGATGATTTCCACATTACTCTCTCTCTACTTTGATTACATTCAATATTTCAACACCAGACCCACCATTATTTTTTTGGATTTTACCCCAACACTTAGATCTGCTGAAAAGGCAACAGTAGACAATTTGTTTTCTATTGTTGGTTATAGATAACATATGATGTCGCATGGCCACAGTAGTTTTTGGAATTCCAAAATTTTAACCAATATGGAGGGATTTCTGCCAAAACCTGCTGGGTTCTGAGATTTGTTCCTGGGTCTCTTGGAGCATGGCCGTTCGTGGGCAGCGACCTGGGGTCTTGTTGGGGCGTGGAGGAAAGGGCCATCCCGCAAGGTCCCACGTGTCTCATCACTATGGGCCCAATCCTGACTGTCCAATGACCTCTGGAGGATGGCAGCCACGAGCCACCAAGGGGAACCAGGTGGAGGAACAGCACCCTTTCCCCCCTGGGGTAGCCTGGCACCGGTAACCTACTGCAGGGACCAGATGTATTTCTGCCAAAAGTTGCTGGGTTCCGAGATTTGTTTCTGAGTCTCTTGGGTCATGGCTGTTAAGCAGCCTGATCAGGAACCAGAGAGGCTGTTGGTGGGCGGCGACTCGGGGTCTTGTTGGGACAGGGAGGAAAGGGCTGGCTCCACCCACATCTCATGAGGCCCCACGTGTCTCATCACTGAGGGCCCAAACCTGACCGTCCAATGGCCTCTAGAGGATGGCAGCCACCTAGCCACCAGGGGAACAGGCCAAGGCATGAAACCTATTCCCTTGCACTGGTAACCTAATGCAGGGACCAGACGCATTTCTGCCAAAAGACACTGAGTTCCGAGATTTGTTTCTGAGTCTCTGGGATCATGGCCATTAAGCAGCTTGATCAGGAGCCAGAGAGGCTGTTTGTGGGCGGCGACTCAGGGTCTCGTTGGGGCGGGGAGGAAAGGGCCGGCTCCACCCCCATCCCGTGAGGCCCCACGTGTCTCATCACTGCAGGTCCAAACCTGACTGTCCAGTGGCCTCTGGAAGATGGCGGCCACCAAGCTGCCAAGGGGGAGCAGGCGGAGGAACAATACCCTTTCCCACCTGGGGTTGTCTGGCGCCAGTGACCCATTGTGGGGACCGGACACATTTCTGCCAAAAGCTGCTGGGGCTGAGATTTATCTTTGAGTCTCTAGGATCATGACCGTTAAGCAGTTCGATCAGGAACCAGAGAGGTCATGCCTCCAATTATATAGCTGAGCCGGAGGTGGTTTGTGGGTGTGTCTCCCACATACCTAACTTTTGACTGTTTACTTTCCTGGTAAACTTGGCCCCAAGTTGTTGGGGTCTGGCCAAAGGCACAGCAGCAATTTCGGGGTATCTGGAAGTCTGAAGGCGCCATCAGGCTGCTGATGCACTCGCCTCACAGGTACAGATTGACCTGCTGGCGGCACCGTATTACCCCCCGAAGACGTGTTCTTGAAAGAGCCCTTGGTCAGATGGGATTCATGCCTTTCTCCCCGTTTGTTACCTTGGGTCAAGGCGTGGGTCAGAAACTGCCTTTTCCAGGCAACTGAACTGCCCCACACCTGGCAGGGGAGAGCCTGGGGACTGGCAGCTTTATCGCGTTAGCGTCCAACGTGTTTGCGTCTGTTTCCGGGCTCTGTAGTCTTCGTCATTGTGTGCATGTGTGCCAGTCCCGTGCGCCTGTAATTACTGTCCTTGCGTTCCCTTTGCGCCTCTCCAGCCGGCTCCCCAGCCTGTGCCAAACATCTCCGCTCGAGGGTCTTTGCCTCCCTTCCCGCCCCAGCCTCCCTCACCCGGCAACTGCCCTTCCGCTTCCTAAGCCAGAGAGAAGGGACTCCTTCCCTGTGAACGTTGCGCGCACACACACACACAAAAACACGCACACTCTCTCCACATGAACCACATGCATGCATGCATGCACTGTGCACCACATCTACACATGTGCACATGTACACACACCCCCCACACAGACACGTGTACATGCTTACATCACACATACTTATACATACCACAATGCATGCACACTTACCTCTCACACACATGCACGTGCACACCACACACTTGCATGCATGCTCACACACGTGGACACATACACACTCATCCACACACACAGACATAGACATGCACACATATACACCACATATGCACATACACGACACACACAATATCCACACATGCACCTAGTCACTCGCACATGCAAACACACACTCACACACACTCACACAAACCCTCACACTCACAGGCCCCCTTGCTACGTTTCTCCCTGTTTTTCTCCCCTGTGTCCCGGTGCCTTTCCCCGCACGAGTCTTCACTGCCCCCCCTTCCTCCGTGGGCCTCTCCTCTGTCGGTGGCTTCTAGACTCTCCTCTGACCCCAGACCCCGTGCCGGGGGCTTGCTCACGTCCTCAGGCAGCACCCTCTGTGCCCTTCTTTCCTCGCCGTACTTACCAGAACAAGCCATGTTCCCCCTCCGCCTGTTCCCCTGCGCCCTCTCTGGACCGGTGACAGCCCCTGCTCCCATGAGCACGTGGATGTTTCGCCCTTCACTCCGTAGCTTTCAGGACTGCTGGCACCCCCCACCCCGACCACCTGCCCTCGAGGGGCCCTTGCCTAGGCCTGGGGGCTTCCCTCCGCTAGGGCTGAGATTCCAAACTGCCTGCAGGGGACCCACTAAGGACGTGGTCTTGGCTGTCCAAAGGGGGATGAGAAGTGGGGAGCGAAGTTAGGACTGGAGGGGGACTCACTGAGGGCCTAGGCTCCCTGGGTAGAGATCTGGAACCGGGAGGATCTCCCCAGACCTACCTAGGGAGTCTCTGGGGCTGGGCCCCCCGCAGTGTTGGAGAATGACCCCCGTGAGTTGAGGGGCGCAGCCAGTGCAGAGGGCAGGAGAAAGCAAAGCAAAGAAAGTATGTGGGGGACGGGGTCTCCAAAGGAAGGGCAGGTGGGGGTGGGTCTGAGCTGCCTGGGGTGGCCCCCAGCACCACCTCTCCCTGACCAGGGTGCCTGCACCCCCGACCTTCCGAGGTGGGCTCTGCGGTGCCCACACCATGCCTGGGGTGGGGTTGCCCACTGGCCTGGCCACAGCCTTTGTCTTGCTGTGGCCAGGACAGTGGTTCCAGTCTCAGCACTGATGTGTCAACCCTGAGCACCGCCAGGTGTGGCCTCCGAGCACTGCAAATGGGCCCCCCACACCAGAAGATAAAAGATTATTTTGATTACAAGTAAAGGGCCGGAGCAATAGTACAGGGGGGAGGGTGTTTGCCTTGCACGCAGACGACCCGGGTTCGATCCCCGACATCCCATATGGTCCCCCGAGCACCGCCAGGAGTGATTCCTGAGTGCATGAGCCAGGAGTAACCCCTGTGCATCGCCAGGTGTGACCCAAAAAAGAAGAAAAAAGTCAAAAAGAAATTAAAACCATTGTTGTGGGTAAAGAGTGGAGGTGGGGGGGGGTGTCATTTGTTTCCAGGATCTGGCCGGTGAGGGGCCTTGACAAGCCCCTCATGGCCTTGGACTGTGGCCACTATGTCGCCAAGGAGGTCGGGAAAGGGGACACAGCCGGGTGTCGAGGACAGCGTCCCCCCGCCCTCACCTGCGTCCTGCCCACCTTGTCCCCAGGCTAACAGGAGCTGCCCTGTAGCGGTCCCTCTGCGTCCAGGCCCAGATGGTGCCAGAGCTATGACCGGACCTGCAGGCGTGGTGCCGAGGGGTCATCAGCCATGGAGCGGCCACCGGAGGAAACCCCTGCGGGCCGGGAAGAGGAGGAGAAAGAGGAAGTGGCAGAGGCAGAGGGAGCCCCAGAGCTCAATGGAGGACCAGAGCACGCGCTGCCTTCTGGCAGCTACACAGGTGAGTCACGGCGGGCAGGTGGACACACGCACAGGAGCTGGCAGGGGGGTGGGGCCACATGGCTGGCCGGCCGTGTGTCACCGCCCGGCACAGTTGCGTGCCAGCCGACCTTCCTTCCACACGGACGGGTGGCGGACTCAGGCCCTGGGGCGTGACACAAGTTGGCACTTGTCATGCCTGTCCTTGTCATCCCCACTGTTCTGCCCTGCTGCATTAACAGCTCAGGGAGACGGGCTGCCTCTGTGATATTTAAACCCCTTGAAAACACTCCCCACAACCGGGAGCCTACAGCAAGCACCGGCCTGCTTCCTTCAAGAAGGCTCAGAGTGGGGCTGGAGCGATAGCACAGCAGGTAGGGCATTTATTTGCCTTGCACATGGCCGCACCCAGGTTTGATTCCCGGCTTCCCATATCATCCCCTGAGCACCACCAGGAATAATTCCTGAGTGCATGAGCCAGGAGTAAGTAACCCCTGTGCATCCCAGGTGTTACCCCTCCCCCCCCCAAAAAAAAAGAAAAAGAAGGCTCAGAGGGGTGCTCAAATCATAGTACAGCAGGGAGGGTGCTTGCCTTGCACATGGTGAACTCGGGTTCAACCCTCCCCCCTGCCCCCCAGCACCCTATATGTTTCCCTGAGCCTGTTAGGAGTGATTCCCGGGCCAGGAGTAAGCCCTGAGCACCGCCAGCTGTGGCCCTAAAACAAAACCCAAAACCCTTTAAAAGCGCGTTGGGTCGGAGCTGATGGGGGCATTCGTGCCTCCTAGCCTTGGTCCCTCCTTTGTACCTAGCAAGCACTTCGACGGAGGCCCGGGCAGGGCCGGCTTTGCCGTGGTGGTGCCCACAGCCCAGACGATCTGGACCCCCAGTGAAAACCCAGTCCCCGATGCCTGCAGCGTGAGGAGTTAGGCAGCTCTGCGGGAAGGTGTTGTGCAGAGGTTGACTCTGCCCCCGCAAAGTCAGTAGCCAGCTGCCCCTCCCCCCCACCCCCTCGCTGCGCTCACGCGTGGCCACATACCCTCGGAAAACCCATCCGCTTGGAAATGGTGCGAACCAGATCAGCAGGGCCTTGTTTGCTCAGCCTGGGGTCAGCGACGGGGCCAGGGATACTTGACCTTCTCTGTAGCCGTTTGTGCTGAGCTCAAGCATTTGCCCGAGGGCTCGCTGTCCTCTCCTCTCTGCCGTGGCTCATTTGTCACGGGCCACCAAGGCGAGCCCCGGGCTAATGACCCGCGCCCTGTGTATACACGGCCGGGACCGCACACTGGCTGCAGGGTCAGCCCCGCAGCATGGATGCTTCTAGAATTCTCGCTCTGCCAATGGAGTAGCCAGATCCTCTAGAAGCAGGTTGGAGCTGCCAGTTTGGTCCGTCTTCAGTAGGGAAAAAAAAAAATAAAATCATAAGGGGCCAGAGCAAAATAGTACAGCGGGGAGGGTGTTCGCCTTGCACATGACAGACCTGGGTTCGATTCCCCGGCATATGGTCCCCCCACCACCACCAGGAGTGATTCCTGAGTGCAGAGCCAGAAGTAAGCCCTGAGCATCTCGCCACAGCCCAAAAACTAAGAAGAAAATCACTCACCACCCCTCCCCCATAAAATCTTCCTTCTTTAAGCAAATAACTAGAAAGTGACCCCCACTCACACCTGAGGCTCCCAACCCCCTCCCAGTCTGACACACTCCCATCCGTTCAGCCAACCCCCTCATCCCTCCGCCCCCCGCACTCCCCTTCCCATCCATCCGCCCCCTCCCCCATTCATCCATTTAGCCTTCCCTCCCCTCTCCTCCATACCTCCCTTCCCATCTGTCCAGTTCCCCCTTCCTGGGGGGGATGGACAGACCCAGGGAGAATGGACAGGGCCAGGAGTGTATGGACAGACCCCGGGGAGATGGACAGGCCCCAAGGGGATGGACAGGCCCTGGGTGATGCACAGGGCCCAGGGAAGTGGACAGGTCCTGGGCTGTTTTGGTTGGTTAGTTTTCATTTTCATTTGGAGACCACCCCTGGCAGTGCTCACTCCTTCCTCTATGTGCTGCTGGGGCAGGGCTGCATGCGGCCTGAGCACTGAGCGTCCTGACCTCTCTCCGGCCCCCATCACCCACCATTTTCCTGGGAGGAAATTTGAGCACCTTGAGAGCCTTCACAGCCTCTCTGGCGCCCAGGCAGGAGTCTCGTTTCCAGGGGGCTGAGGCCGGGGCGCTGCAGAGGGCCCACACTTCATTCTTCCCACAGAATGGCCCCAACACCACCCCACGTGCACTCGCGCAGGCCACTTCCTAAAAGACAGTCTAGGAAGACGCTGTCTGTGGCCACTTCCCCCACACACACACCACCGCGCCCCCCCCCCCCCCCACCAGCCCCAGGCCCTGACTTAGCCCAGTTTGTGATCATTTCCGGGACACCTGCTGGGTCAGGACTGGGAGAAGAAAAAGGGAGGGGGAAAAAAAAAAAAACCAGGCCGGTCTGCCCAGAAGAGCTGTCGTTAACCTGTTTTCTAGATAAGAAACTGATCCCCAGAAAGGCTGAGTCCCCGGGGCCGCACGGCTCTCCAGGAACCCGGCAGGGGCTTGCGCGTGCACGGGTCTGGGTCCCAGAACCTGGCGCCAGGCGCCCCGCAACGCTCTGTGTTCGCAGACCTCTCCCGGAGCGCCTCACCCCCCTCCCTGCTGGACCAGCTGCAGATGGGCTGCGACGGGGCCTCGGGTGGCCTCCACATGGAGTGCCGAGTGTGCGGGGACAAGGCGTCAGGCTTCCACTACGGCGTGCACGCGTGCGAGGGCTGCAAGGTACGTGCCAGGGCGCGCGTGGAATTCCCTCGAAGCTTCCTTGTCGGGGGCCCTTCCCCATCTCTCTGCCTGCCTGCATCAACTCCAGGCCTCAGTTCCCCGCCCTGCTAGGGGGGAAGGCCCCTCCCCTGGGCTTTCTGGGTGCTGGCTCCCTCCCCCCCCCCCACACACACACACTCCCAGACCTGGCCCCTGGGCCCAGGCAAGACAGGGTGGGGCTGTTGAGCTCAACCACCCTCCTGAGGTGGGCCCGCCTCTCAGCTCCCGGGCAACTTTGAGAAACGAGGGAGAGGTGGCGTTCCTCTCTGTCCAGCGCCACTTTGTGGGTGCTTCTTCCCGAGTGCGCCCCTGTCAAAATTACACCCGCTCCGAAAACGCAGCCTGGAGGATACCCGGACCCAGGCACACTGACGAATGCTTGGAGTCACCCCGGACGCAACTGTGTGTCCACAGAGCGGCTTGGAGAGCCGGGCCGGGGAGATAGCCTAGAATCCCTGATACCGCAGAGGGCTCCCAGAATCCACCAGGAGTGACCCCTGAGCACCGCTGGGTGTGGCCCTCCCAGTTTAAAATAGAGGAATAGACGTCAATTCATGAGCTGGGGTGTGGCTCAGGGAAGACTACCAGCCTGCTGGTGACCCCCCAGGGTTCAGTCCCAGCGCCTCCCCAGCCCCAACACACACACCACACACACACACACACACACACACACACACACAGGTTCAGTCCCCAGCATCTCCCTACCCCCAACACACACACACATACACAGACACACACACACACACGCACACACACACACACGTTCAGTACCCAGCACCTCCCCACTCACTCCTAACACACACACATACAGGTTCAGTCCCCAGCATCTCTCTACCCCCAACACACACAGACACACATACACACAGGTTCAGTCCCCAGCACCTCCCCACCCCCAATAGAGAGAGAGAGAGAGAGAGAGACACACACGCACAGGCGCACACACACACCCTCCCTTGTGGGGTAAAATAAATACAGTGTATCAATTAGTTCAATCTTTTAGAGCTGTTTACTTTCCGCTCCCTCTTACGAAGCACGCCCCATTTCTTTAAATGAGGCAGGTTTCTGTCTGGCTACGTGGGGCCCCTGGCACAGGGGGCTGGGGGGGCCCTTCACAGGCCCCCTCAGTCCCGTCCTCCCTCTCCCGCAGGGCTTCTTCCGCCGCACCATCCGCATGAAGCTGGAGTACGAGCGGTGCGACCGGAGCTGCAAGATCCAGAAGAAGAACCGCAACAAGTGCCAGTACTGCCGCTTCCAGAAATGCCTGGCCCTGGGCATGTCGCACAATGGTGAGGCCCCAGCCCACCTCGGGGAGCCGGGACCGAGGGCGGGCCCCTCCGAGCAGTGACCGTGGCCACGACCCAGCCGTCCCCGTGCTGCCCCGCGTCCCCTCGGCTCCAGGCCTGATGCCATCGTCCGAGACGGTGCTGTCTGCGAGGAGCCTTGGGGACCGGCCCCCTCCCCCCGAGACTCCGGCTCTCTCAGTCAGCCTGCCCTCGGGGAGAGGGAAGGCTGGGGGCATGGTTCAGGGGGAGCCTGTGAGGGGCCCCAAGTGTGGTCCCAGCATTCTCAGGGGCACCCCCAGGGCATGGTATTGCAGGGAGCAGTTTCAGAAGAAAAGAGTAAGAGGGTCAAGACGTAGGACAGTGAGGAGCTGGAGTGATAGCACAGTGGGTAGGGCGTTTGCCCTGCACGCGGCCAACCCAGGTTCGATTCCCAGCATCCCTTATGGTCCCCTGAGCACCGCCAGGAATAATTCCTGAGTGCAGAGCCAGGAGTAACCCCTGAGCATCGCCAGGTGTGACCCAAAAAAGAAAAAAACAAAACAAAACGGGGTAGGACAATGAGTAGGGTGCTCGCCTTGCACGTGGCCCACCCAGGTTCCATCCCCAGCATCACCTACGGTCCCCCAAGCACTGTCGGAATTAGTTTCTGAGCACACAGCCAGGAGTGATGCCTGAGCTTCCTAGGGTGTGACCCAAAAACCCAAAACAATATTTTTAGAAAAGAACAGAGTAAGAGCCAGTGCCACAGCCTGGGGACCTCTCGCGGTCATCGAAGGCAGGCAGGAGTCAGGAGGTGACCACAGACCCTGTCCACTGAGGGTGGTCTCCCGGCCCCTGGAGGAGATGGGGAGCCCCTCCTGTTTGTCTCTCCACCACTGGCTCCTGTCCTGCACCGGTGAGGGTGAGGACCGAGTTCGGTGACCCCGTCGGCCTCTGTCTGCCCCGTTTCTCAGACAGGGTGAGGTGCTTTCCTCAGATGCCCCAGGACTGGAGATTCTCCCCGCCCTTCCCCACCGAGCAGCCAGCTTTGTGTCCTGTCCGTTAGCCCCTTACAGTTGGAAACGCTTGCTTGGTACTCACTCTCGTGCCTTCTGAAGCCCCCGTGAGGACTAAGAACTGGCCCCATTTTTTTTTCGGCTGGACAATAGAAGAGTGGGGGTCCCACTCTCTGGTCCCCCCACCCCCTGGCTCATGCAGCACTAGATAATGTGCCCGGGCCCCAAAACAACTGTCTCTCAGCCACCTGCCTCCCCAGCATTCAGTGCCCTGGGCGGCTGCTGTGGTCGGTCCCCTGAGCTGACACTGTGCCGCGGGCGCCCCAGTATTTCAGCGGGCTGATCCAGGAGCGGCCGAGGTTCCTGGGCGGGGCCAGGCTGGGTCCCGGCCACTCCCGGGCAGTGCGGTGACTGTCCTCCTCCCGCGCCCCACGCAGCCATCCGCTTTGGCCGGATGCCCGAGGCTGAGAAGCGGAAGCTGGTGGCAGGGCTGACGGCCAGCGAGGGGAGTCAGCACAACCCCCAGGTGGCCGACCTGAAGGCCTTCTCGAAGCACATCTACAACGCCTACCTGAAGAACTTCAACATGACCAAGAAGAAGGCCCGGGGCATCCTCACGGGCAAGGCCAGCCACACGGCGGTGAGTGGGATTGTGTGTGTGTGTGTGTGTGTGTGTGTGTGTGTGTGTGTGTGTGTGTCCTGGGCCTCCTGCCTGGGTGTACCTCCATTGCACACCGGGCTAGGGCTGGGGTGCACCGGAGATGGGACTCCACCCCTGGACATGGCCTCCTCACAGACAAGCCAGCCACATGGCGGTGTGTGTGTGTGTGTGTGTGTGTGTGTGTGTGTGTGTGTCTTTGTCTGTTTTTGTCTCCTGCAGCCTCCTGCCTGCTTCCACCATGGCACACCCAGGACTAGGGCTGAGTGCACCGGAGATGGGACCCCACCCCAGGACATGGCCTTCTCATGGACAAACCAGCCACATGGCAGAGAGAGAGAGAGAGAGAGAAAGAGAGAGAGAGAGTGTGTGTGTGCGTGTGTCCTGAATCCTCCTGCCTGCTTCGTCCATGGCACACCCAGGACCCAGGGTTGGGGTGCTCTGGAGACGGGGCCCCACCCCAGGGCCTGGCCTCTAACGGGACCTGGTTTTTCAGCCCTTTGTGATCCACGACATCGAGACCTTGTGGCAGGCGGAGAAGGGCCTGGTGTGGAAGCAGCTGGTGACCGGCCTGCCGCCCTACAAGGAGATCAGCGTGCACGTCTTCTACCGCTGCCAGTGCACCACGGTGGAGACGGTGCGCGAGCTTACCGAGTTCGCCAAGAGCATCCCCAGCTTCAGCAGCCTCTTCCTCAACGACCAGGTGACCCTCCTCAAGTACGGCGTGCACGAGGCCATCTTCGCCATGCTGGCCTCCATCGTCAACAAGGACGGGCTGCTGGTGGCCAACGGCACCGGCTTCGTCACCCGCGAGTTCCTGCGCAGCCTCCGCAAGCCCTTCAGCGACATCATCGAGCCCAAGTTCGAGTTTGCCGTCAAGTTCAACGCCCTGGAGCTCGATGACAGCGACCTGGCCCTCTTCATCGCCGCCATCATCCTGTGCGGAGGTCCGTGGGTGCAGGGGAGGGGCACAGGGGGGCGTGCGTGTGTGTGGGCCGCCGGGAAGGAAACACGCCCATAGAGTGATGGGGCAACCCAGGGACTGCAGGAACTCCATGTGTTTCTTTCACTTTTTTTTTTTTAATGCACATATGAAGGCAGGACTAGCTCCCGAGCATCACCAATCCGTCACCTCTTCTCCTTCCTTATTTCCCCAAATAATAAAATAAAATACAAATTAAGGGCCAGAGTGATAGTATATAGGGTACGGCACTCGCCTTGCATGCAGCCAACCTGGGTTTGATCCCAGGTACCACATGTGGTCCCCGGAGCTCACCAAAAGTGCGCCTTGAGTGCTGCCGGGCGTGGCCCCAAAAACACAAATTCATTTGTGCCAGAGGGATGTGGCATGTGCCCCATGTGACCCTTGACACTACCAGGAGTTAGCCCTTGAGTGCAGAGCCAAGGGTAAGTTTTGAACACAGCCAAGTGTGGCCTTCCCCCCAAAAAATAATTAAAAATTTTTAAATTCAGGACCAGGACAGGGCTGGAGCGATAGCACAGCGGGTAGGGCGTTTGCCTTACAAGCGGCCAACATGGCCGACCCGAGTTCGATTCCTCCGCCCCTCTCGGAGAGCCCGGCAAGCTACCGAGAGTATTCGATATGCCAGACACAGTAACAACAAAGTCTCCAATGGAGACGTTACTGGGCCCGCTCGAGCAAATCAACGATCAACGGGAGGGCCTTTACCTTTACCTTTAAATTCAGGACCAGAGCGGTAGTGTGATGGATAGGGTGTTTGCGTTACACGTAGCCAACCCAGGTTTGACCCAGGTTCACTCCCCAGCTTTCCATATGGTCTTCCGAGTACCTTCTAGTAATTTCCTGAGTGGAAAGCCCTGAGCATCAAAAGTTAAAAAAATTTTTTAAAAATTTAAAGTACAGCCAACTTGGCCGATCTGGGTTCAATTCCTCTGCTCCTCTCGGAGAGCCCGGCAAACTACCAAGAGTATCTCGCCCTCACGGCAAAGCCTGACAAGCTACCCGTGATGTATTTGATATGCCAAAAACAAGTCTCACAATAAAGACGTTACTGGGCCTGCTCGAGCAAATCGATGAACAATGGGAGAACAATGCTACAGTGCTTAAATTTTAAAAGCATCATGTAATAGCCATGTCCCACATTTTTTTTTTTTATGTAGGAGTACTACTATTCAGCCACTGATTAGCTGATTGAATTGGGCATGAACTCCACCTTATTTTTTTTTATTTTTTATAATTTTAGTTTTTGCATGCCCCACATTTTTTGCAAAAAATCAAAACTTATTTGCATAAAACTCATAACTTCTGGGTCCAGATAGTACAGCAGGTAGGGAGCTTGCCTTGCACGCAGCTGACCCAGGTTTGATCCCGGGCATCCCATATGGTCCCCTGAGCCCACCAGGAGCGATTCCTGAGTGCAGAGCCAGGAGTGAGCCCACGCCTCCCCCCATGCGCTCCCCACAGACCGGCCGGGCCTCATGAACGTGCCCCAGGTGGAGGCCATCCAGGACACCATCCTGCGCGCGCTGGAGCTCCACCTGCAGGCCAACCACCCCGACGCGCAGTACCTCTTCCCCAAGCTGCTGCAGAAGATGGCAGACCTGCGGCAGCTGGTCACCGAGCACGCGCAGATGATGCAGCGCATCAAGAAGACCGAGACGGAGACCTCGCTGCACCCGCTGCTCCAGGAGATCTACAAGGACATGTACTGAGGGGCGCCCGCCGAACGGGCCCGGCCGGAGGGGACAGAGGGACACGCGGGCCCTAGCTGGCCTGTGCCACCCTCCCGGGCCCAGATCCGGCTGCCCTGCTCCCGGCCTGCCTTCTCTCTTCCCCTTTCTCCTCTCACTTCTGTGTTCCTCCTCTCAGTCTCTTCTCTTGCTTTCTCTGGCCCCGACTCCCACCCACCCCCGCCCCCCCATCGGTCCCCCTTTCCTTCCCTCTTTTGGTGAGTTTATACGGTTTCACCAGCAGCTTAGAACAGGACCTCCGCTTTCGTCCCCGCTGCCCGCCAAGCAGGAGGTGCAGAGCGGGGGAACCCCCACTTCTGCTCCGTCTTCCCAGCACAGAACTTGAGCCATCCAAAGAAACACTAAGCATTCTGGGCCCGACGCGGGCCTGACTGTGACATCCCCCACCCCCAACTGTGGCAACATGGCAACCCCCAGTCACTGGGCCCTGCCCTGAGCAAGGACCAGGATGCCACCCCCCAAAGGTGACCACCCCACCCCAAGGCCAGGCCCGGCACCCACCCTCTCCTGCCAGGCTGGCCCTACTCCAGCAGCACGGCACAGCCCCGCGGGCACCCACCCCGCACCCTTTCCTCTTGGCGCCCATCTTCCACGCCAGCGCCACCGATTGCCCCCCGCGCTGGCCGCTGGGGGCACCCCCAGCCTGGAGAGAGGGTTCCCTCCCGGCGGGGGGGCCCCCACTGAAGGGCAGGTAGGGAGGGCGAGGCGGCTGCGCTGCCAGGGGTCAGCCCTCGCCCTCCCTCGAGACCTGCCGGCCCCACCCCGGCCACGCTCTCTTTTCTGCGGTGGGAGATGACGCTGGCCCAGGCTAGAGCCCGGCCGCGCCTCAGCCCCCCACACTCCCTGCCTGGAGCTGCCACTCCAGCGAGCACTGAGATCACTTTCCCCCGCAGGCTCTACGCCGGGCCCCCCGCCTAGCCTGGACTCCCAGGGCCTGGCCGCGCCCCTGCTGAGTCAGCTGAGCACTGGGGGGAGATGGGGGTCGCGGACTGACACCCTGATCACTGGCATCCACTGGTCCCCAGAGCCCTGCTGCACCTGCTTACCCCAGCCTCAGCCCAGCTGGTCACCAGGAGCTTGCCCTGCGTGGACCCTGTGACTGTGATCTTGCACACCCCTCCACCCCCTTATTCCTATTGGAGTGACTTGCACCCCAGGGGAGAGGCCAGTGTCCCAGCAGGAGGGCAGGGAGTTCTCCCAGCCAGGAAATCCCCTAAGGGGTGAGCACCTGGCCCGGGTCTCCCAGAAATGGGAGTGGGGGCAGGGAGGCCTAAGGGGAGGCTCAGCCCCCACGGACATCCTAGCCCAGAATTCCCACCCCAGCCTCACCGGGCCCAGGTCCCGACCTCCCAGTCTGGCCACTCCCATATTTCCCAGGCCCCGCCCTCCTAGCTTCGCCCCGCCCAGTTTCCCCAGGTCCCGCCCTCCCGGCCTTGCCCCGCCCAGATTGCTCCCTTCCCAGGACTGGCCCTTGTCTCGTTCCACCCAGGCCCCAAGAGGTCTTGTTCCCTTCAAGTCCCCTCCACACACACCCCGGCCCCCAGCTGACCAGGGATTGGGTCAGGGGTAAGCCCAGTGGGCCAGTGCTGGGACAGGAAACGACCTGACCTCCCCCTCCCCAGCGTGCGCGCCCACCCCCCCCTCCCCCATCTGGTGCTGAGGATAGAGAGCCCTTCTCAGTGTCTGAACAATCTCCAAAACTGAAATGTATATTTTTGCTAGGAGCCCCAGCTTCCTGTGTTTTTAATATAAATAGTGTACACAGACTGACGGAACTTTAAATAAATGGGAATATTAAATATTTAAGAGCTGATTTAGGATAACTCCGAGCCTTGCGTGTTTTTCTGGGGGGTGGGGCGGAGCAGACGGGATTGGTCTTCTCCATATCCAAAGGGAAGAGGGACGCGGGACTTGGTTGGACACAGGACACTTTGGGGCTCTGGCTGCAGAGCTTGATACTGGCTCATGGGAGCTGCCATCTCCCTGGCCCCTCCTTCCTCAACGCCCCTCCCCCCACACACACACCTTCCCAAAGAGCAGAGCAGGAACCAGAAGATGCTGACCTAGGCCTGGGAGGGGGCTTTGCATAGGGCAGGTGCGCACATGCGCGCACACACACACACAGTTATGAGTAATAGGATGAATAACATTTTTTGTTCTTTTGTTTTTTTTTTTTTGCTTTGTGGGTCACACCCAGCAATGCTCAGGGGTAACTCCTGGCTTTGCACTCAGGAATTACTCCTGGCGGTGCTTGGGGGACCATGTGGGATACCAGGGATCGAACCCAGGTTGGCCGCATGCAAGGCAAACACCATACCCACTGTGCTATCGCTCCGGCCCCCTGCGAATAACTTTTTTTTAAGGAAAAAAAATAATAAAAAGCAACAGCCTGAAACTGGAGGAATAGTAAAGACGTCACATGCCACTGGTCAGGTTTGCGCTTTAGCACCCGGTATGGTCCCACCAGCACTACTAGGAGTGATCGCTGAGCACACCTGAGAGAGGCCCCCTCCCCAGTAAACGAGCAATAAATAGGGCTGGGAACTGAGAGATAGTACCTGGGTTAAGGCACTTGCCTTCATGTGGCTGGCCCTGGTTTGATTCCCAGCACCCCATATATGATTCCCCAAGTACCACCAGAAGTGATCCCTGAGTACAGAGCCAAGACTGCTGGATGTCCCCTTCCCCTGCTCCCAACCCTTCAAAAAGAAATAGTGGAGCCAGAGCGATACTACATGTAGCAGTTAGGGCATTTGCCCGCGTTCAATTCCCAGCATCCCGTATGGTTCCCCCAAGCATCACTGGGTGTGACCCAAAAAGCAAAAAAAAGAAAAAAAGAATAACGAGACCAGAAAGAATTTAAAGAGCTGGAGCGCATGTTTTGCATGTGGGATCCCTGGGTTGATCACCCCAAGAAATGACTCCTAAGAACCTTCAGCTGTGACCCAGAAACAAAAAAGGCATCTCTACCCTGAAGGGAGAATGCAGGGGGGGAGGAGGAGGAGGGTTTGGGAGGAAGGAAATGCAGTGGCCATAGAGGGTGTTGCTATGAAGGCTTGCCTGGGGGGCGCCTGGCGGGGCAGTGGGACTTCCCATCTGCCAGTCTGGCCTTCATCAGCTCCCTGGGCAGGACCCAGGTGTTTGCTGGCATCCATGTGCCCATTACCCCTAGGCCCGGCACAAGGGCAGCCCTTTGCCCATCCGTGCTTGTCTAGCCAGGAAAACCACCACAGTTCAGTATGTCAGACGTGGAGATTTACCACAGAGAACTGTTGCATAAGTATCAAAAAGACCAAAGGACCAGAAAGGGGAAGGTGAGGGTCACGTGGCCGTTAGTAACCAGGAACCCTCAGGCCCAGAGAACCCACAGGACAGGGAAGCATCTAGAAGTCAGGAGCCCAGCCGCTGCACCAGGCCAGAACCGCACACGCGGTTGCCCCGGGGCCATCAGCCCTGAACAAGATGTCCCCAAGCTCCCACAAGCTCTGTGGCTCCTGGCAGGGGTGTCTGGAGTGGGGCTGTGGGGGGGGGGGGTTATTCCCTCGCATTCACCAGAGCTGTGTGGGGGCAGTCCACAGAGCACACGTGGAAGCCTAGGAACAGATCTAGGAACCAGGCCACCAACACCGAGCACCCACAGCCCCTGGGGAAGCTCAGGGTGCTGAAGGGTGCTGACCTCTCCCGTTCCCACACCCTCAAATAGATGAAGACTTGTCTTATTTGTGGGGGTTTTGTGGTAATGTTTTTTCGGGGAGCCACATCAGCATGACATGGGGGACCTTGGAGTGCTAGGAGTGAAACTCAGATCTACCACATACAAGCCAAGTGCCTGCAACCCCGCGTTTTGTTGTTGCTTTCTTTGGAGGCCATATCCAGCACCCCCTAAGTGGGACGGGACGTGTAAAGCAAGCACCTTCACCCCAGTATTATCTCCCTGGCCCCTGGCTTTCTGCTGGGCTAGACCAGCTCTGCAGGAGATACAGAATACCAAAGAACCAGCTGGACCTCCATTCAGAGAGGTGAGAACAAAGTTTCCATTTTCTTTTTGTTAGTTTCCTTTTGGTTTGGTGTTTGGGCCACATCCAACAGGCTCGGGGCCCTTCCTGACATTGCTGGGGAGTCACTCCTGTTGGAGCTTCCAGAGAAAGTTCAGCAGCTAGAGCAAGCACATTGCATGAGGGAAGCCCAGGTTCAGTCCCCAGCATCATGTGGTCCTCAGCATGACCCGCTGTACTCTCCAAACAAACAAATTTTCTGGTCCTGCAGAAGGGCCCAGAAGCTGGTAGACTCAACTTTAAAAGCAATGGGGATTCAGCCAAAGAGAAGAACAACATGGAGGGCGGGATCCACAGATCCCAAAGGGAAAAAAAAAAAAAACAGTTTCCAAAAAGAGCCGAGATCATCAGGAAGTCCGAGATGGGGTAGGTACCACATCCCGCCTCCCCCAGATGGAACCCCGGTGACCAGAAACCTCTACAAGCACAGCTCAAGTATGCGGGACCTAGGACTTTTCCTTAAAACCGCGCGGCCGCTTACGCGGCCGCGCGACATCTCTCCATTTACAAAGTGATCCATGGGAAGTAAACCACCTAACGTTTCTCTCTGAAAATCATAGTTAAGCTTTGAGCACGGCCACAGCCCCAGAAGCACAAGGACTTAATGTAGAACCCAGAAGCTTGGAGCAGAAAAGTGAACGGGCTATGTGTTAACCCAGGCCATCAAGTCTCCCAGAGGGGAAAGGGTGTTGGTCCCTTCCGCCCTCCTCCCTCTGGAAAGAAAGGTGGCCGCCACATGGGAGCCTTGTGGACAGCAGGTATGAGCCGGGGGTGTGGGGGCGACTAAAACCTCATGGGAAGGGGGGCGTTCCGGTCCGTCCTTCACGCCCTACCGAGGTCACCAGTTGCCCCCCGCGCGCGGCTCTCCAGCACGGCCACAGCCCCAGAAGCACAAGGACTTAATGCAGAACCCAGCAGCTTGGAGCAGAAAAGTGAAAAGACTATGCGTTAATCCAGGCATTC